GTCACGAAGGAGGGCACCTGACAAACGCAACATGTTACCAGGATTTGGGTACTTTATACCAAGCGGTGGGCGAAACAGATCAAGCAAAAGACTTCTATGAGCGTGCACTGGACATTCTTCTGAAAGAGCTGGGAGCTGAACATGTTAATGTTGTAGCCTCTTACCATAGTCAGGGAAGTTTATGCAGTGACCTGGGCGAAACAGATCAGGCAAAAGAGTACTATAATCGTGCACTGGAGATTCGTCTGAAAAAGCTGGGAGCTGAACATGTGGATGTTGCAGCCTCTCACGACAATCTGGGTAGTTTACACAGTGCGCTGTGCGAAATAGATCAAGAAAAAGAGTACTATAATCGTGCACTGGAGACTCGTCTGAAAAAGCTGGGAGCTGAACATGTTGAAGTTGTACGCACTTTCTTACTATTTAACTTGGGTTGTGTGTACAATGAGGTTGGAGAATTTGAAGAAGCCCAGTATTGTCAGGATCGTGCACTGGTAATATATATCTCTTAGTATGGCCAAGGTTAGCGAACTAAAGCTTAGGAGGAACTTATCTCAACTACAAAAGAATAGGAAGAGAGTCGAGGATCATGAAGCTGTTTTGAAAAGGTAAAAAATATTCACGTGTTGATAGTCTTGTAACTGTGCTGATATATAGTCGATGACGACCTTTAATTTAATTTTACACGTTGCTGTCTTATTGTTCGTGAGAATTTGTATCTTTTAAGTATGTTCATTATATTTGGTATAACTTGAGCTTTTTCTTTCCTGATATGCAAACTCTCGTGGTCGGACGTAGGTTTTTTCTTTTATGTCTGTCTCAATTTTAGATATTCCGTTGCTTGCAATTCTACAGATACTGAACCATGAGAATATGTACACAGTATAAAACGGTATATAAATCGCCACTCGGTGCAGTTTCTTCTAAATTAGGATTTTCGATTGATTGGCTTCTATACATATCACTCTCTTCTTATCAGCAAGTATAGTGATAACGTAAAACTAAGGTGGTCTGGTGGTTTTGTAATGCTTCATATGTACTGCAACTTAAACCGACACAGACTGCTCTTGTAACAAGGGCAGTATAAATGACAAGGTTTCCAAATGAATAGTCCGGGACTCAATTCCACTGTAATTCTCAGTTTGTTAAGTTTAGAAGAATTATAATCGATTACGAGAATTCTCGTAATATAACCTTAGAATTTGAAATTACGATGAAATGGAGACTTCAAACACTTTATCTGTTATATTGTTTGACGTCGCGCTTGAGTTACGTACAGAGCGTATGAGGAACTTCCCTTCTTTCGGGATGATTGAATCCAGTAAGTAGTTTATTTCGACTCGGCACATTTAAGTTAAACGATCTTAAGAATAATGTCTGACCATATGTACATAAGCCTTTGTCAGAGCTTAAATATCTCATATATATATATATATATATGTAATTCAACGGCCTAACACTAGTAGATATCTCATTCGAATACATGAACATGTTTTCGCACCAAATAGATGCCTGTGTGGTTGCTGTCCTTCGATTTTGCTTTTGAAGCGTGCAGTGACCCCTTTCCTTCCTTCCATAGTATCTAAGCATAATTTTTTTTTTGTCGTCTCTTGGGGAGGCCCGTTATCTTCTTTATTGTGATTCAGGGTGAAACCCGAAGAGAGTACCAAAGCTAAGAGGTGACCCCAAAGGGGTTTCCCTGGCGCTTGTTTGATTTTCTCTCACTCCCCCCATGTCGAAATTGTCTGTGTACGCCTTTGGTTTAGATCCGTCGGTTTGCGTCGTTCCCTCTGGTTTGATGGCTATGATTGTGTCGCAGAGAAGTCCCATTTGATTTTCTTTTTTTTTTTAATTGATGTCAAAACAGTACAATTGAGTGTTCTCTGAAAGATTCAGTTGCAAATTGTTCATCTTTTTTTTATTTTCAATTCTGAACAGTTGCGAGAGGGGAAACACGTACAGCGTTAGAATTGGTTTTTCGACTCGAAATCAAATGAGTATTTCATTTCGATGAGATCCTTGTGTAAAATGAAAAAGATAAGATGCAAAACGTACAAAGAATAAACATTTTATTCTGAATTCGTAACTATACATGACACTTCAAATGCATTTCTGATTATTACGCACTACGCTGTTCAAGAGATGAATTTGAAATGTTTACATAGGCAGTTTCACTGTTGAATCGCGGCTATTTCGAATATAAACACTTTTTAACAAGATCAAGTAATCCTCTGGGGAACCCACTGATATATTGCGCAGAGTACAATTGTTTATTTTGTGCGGTCAAGTCTAAGGTTGCGAAATAAAAGTGATGTTTAATCCCTAATCCCCCTCTCTCTAACACTGAGTAAATTTTTAACGGGAAGTAGTCAGTTAAAAATTCAATTCAATGGATTGTTCACTTACATGTCCGGTAAAAAAATGGCCGTCGTCCACACAACAATCGGTTCGCCATCATTGCTAAGATACGTACTCTTCCCAGACCCCTATGGCTGTGTAGGCGCCAGGAAATTTGCATATCGAATCCCTACAATACTCGTGACTATGCTTTATATCGATGTGTAAAAACTAGTGTACGTAAGACTGTAGTTAAGAAAGTGATTTCAACAAAGTTGAAGTTAGGTCGTCGAACCGGTTCTCTAAGCTTCCGAGTGACACTTCCGAAGCTCCGCGTAAATACGAGATTGATTGTTCATGTTAAGTGACTGATAATGAGAAGGAGGCCTTGAAAACTGCAATTCTGCAATTTCATCATAGATTCTATTGATACTCCTTGGATCTTCATACGCTGGATTGGAATGTCCTTTGGTCATAGGCGTTCTTGGCCTGTGTCCTCTAGGAGAGGAACAATAAAATAGATAAGAAAGAAAAATAAAAATCTTTAACCAGCCAGACACGTATCAAATCTTGCTATGTAATGCTATGTCATTCGAGCGAACGCGCGCTCCAACTCAGACAAAAAGACAGATCCTCAGGTTTGTTGATGCCTCACTCAGCCAAAGTAACAATACAAGTTGTTTTATTCTTTGTATAGGGGTTGTTTTGTAGAGGAGGTCAACTTTCAGAATAACAAAGGATATGAGAGAAGGATATCAAAGTTGGGAATTGCGTTGGGTTAGTGAATAGCAAGCCGGAACAAGGGAT